TATGTATATATATACATGTATATATATCCATGTGTGAGAGAGAGAGAGTGTGTAAATATATTCGTTCCACACTCTTACCCCCATGCAGATGTTCCGGTGGATTCGCCACGTTTGCTCGTGCGGAATCTGTTTAGTGCGCTCACTGAACTGTCGCTAGTAAGCGACAAGCAACACCCGCCTAAAGTATCTTTGGCCAATGAAGGTTATGCACAAGATGCCTCATTTGTGCTACCTACACCTGGTCGTGATGGTAAGTATATATATATATATATATCCGTTGAGTATTTATGCGTTCAAATCTGGTTATATCTTTATGTCGTGGCTGGTGATGTTAGCTCAAAGAATTGTACACAGAAGTTCGCTTTATTCTCCGTGCGTATGAAGGCTGATCGTGACATTGGTGCGTACGGACTGCTGTATTATAGAGGCATGTCCGGTTGTGGGTAGATTTACCTACATGGTGTTGAGTCTTCAAAGTGCACCTGATGCTATGGGGTTGTAGGGTCATAGAGTGTAGGTAGGTAGATACAACTACCTTTTTTTTATCGAGAAGTTAGTAGAGTAGTCATCTAGGTACTTGTATGGTGTAAAGCAAACGGTCCACACACTTTATGCCTGTCTTTTTAGGGTTTTAGGGATTTGGTGTTCTGAGGAGCACTCTCGATAGTACAAAGACATACACATTTAAAGACTATATACAGTTATTCTCAGATACATGTTACCTATCAGGTATTGTATTGCAGTGTATGACTTTGTATTGACAATATTCCACTCTAGGTTAGACAGCCAAAGTAGCGGACACGCTCAATGCATGCGTTGTATGCATGGAGGTGTTCTCATAGCACATACGCGAAGCAATTGCCAGCAAACAGAGGACAGCTGGGTATAACATTGTTTTTCTAGACGCGAGACTTGAGTGGAGAATGATGATATGAATGTTTTCCGTAAACTGGAGATTGATCCTGTGACAGAGCCACGTAAATGCCCGGAAGCTCAGCTATACGTCCATTACACCAACACATATACCCATAAGCAGTATACCTAAAACCCTAGAACCCAATAAGCAGTCCACCTAAAACCTTAAAACCCAATAAGCAGTCTACCTAAAACCCTAAAACCCAATAAGCAGTATACCTTAAACCCTAAAACCCAATAAGCAGTCTACCTAAAACCCAATAAGCAGTCTACCTAAAACCCTAAACCCCAATAAGCAGTCTACCTAAAACCCTATAACCCAATAAGCAGTCTACCTAAAACCCTAAAACCCAATAAGCAGTATACCTTAAACCCTAAAACCCAATAAGCGGTATACCTAAAACCCTAAAACTCAATAAGCAGTATACCTAAAACCCTAAAACCCAATAAGCAGTCTACCTTGAACCCAAAACCCAATAAGCAGTGTACAGGGACTAATTAATAGTTCACTCTGTTGTACAGCTAAAGTGGTAGGTACGCTCAATGCATACTTTGTACGCACGGAGGTGTTCTCCTAGCACCAACAAACATACGGACAGTTAGGGTTTAGGGCTTACCAATGTCTACCTACGGAGACTGACATACACCTGTGTTGTACTGTGCAGCTAAAGTGGTAGGTACACTTAATGCATACATTGTGCGCATGGAGGTGTTTCAGAGAGCCAGCCGCGACTGGATCAAGAACGAGGTCTTACGGAGTGTTATTGCTGTCATGACTGCAGGTATGGACTATATGCCTTTAGTATATATATATATATATATATATTATACTTAATATATGTATATAATTTATCCTTCGCATATATATATATATATGTATATATATATATATTTATTTATATGAATATATGTATATTTTATCCTTGGCATATATATATATATTATATATATATATAACCCTAACATAATCTAACAAATATAGATGTATAATTTATATGGAGTATAGTTATATATAATATATCCTTGATATATACGCTTGGTGTACGACTGTATCAAGTACATATACTAGGTATGCCCACTATATGGTATGCTTCATTGCTGGAAATGTGTGGCTATAACCCTCTTTTGCCATAGATACTGTGTATGCTTAGTATATGGTACACGAGCGTTTGGTACAAGCATATTTCATGGACGTATGTGGTTCTATAGTAGGTACGACTGATATCTGGTATATATATATATATATATAAATATATATATATATATATCACTATATATGCTTGCGATATGGAGCTGTATGGTGTGTATGGCTTAGTTTGCATTCATATACTACTTTGTATACGCTCATTTCTTGGTTGCGTAAGGCTGTATGGCAGATACCACATACTTGTTAATATATATCTGAAATCTCAACACACATACACACGCTCATAGACACACTGATCACTCACGGGTATAGCTGTATTCTTATCACTACAGAACCCTCAAACTACTTCCTCACCCGGCAACCGGCCCCGTTCACTACAATTGTGAAGGAGCTCGACACCTTAAGTAACACCACACGCATAGACGTGTACAAGCTGCTGTCGTACTTGGCGTGTAGTGTCAACTATGTGCCGTACCAGGAGCTGGTTACACTGGCAGAGATTGTTGCCATGACAACGGACGCCTTGCTGATGAGGTTGACGGTGACACTCATTGCAAAGCTGGTTAATTTTGACGACAGATTCACCACGGTGCTGCGGCAGGTATACATGGTTAGAGGATGTGCGTATATATATATATATATATATATATATGGATGTATATGTATATGCATATGTATAAAAAATAAGTCAATATCTTTCTAATTTATATGCTATATCTATATATGTATATATATACGTAT